ATTTTAGTCTACATGAATCATCCAGATAGAATCTTAACAATGACTAATTAGAAGTATTATCTCATGCTTTTAATAACTATTGAAACGATTGTACTTACATTTAATAGCAGATTTGAGGACTTAGGAAAACTGAGGAAATCTTGTTATTTTTGTAATTATATTGATCCATCAAGAGATAATCTAAAGTTTTGTTGTGTCCAACCATTATTATTATAATTGTTATTATTAATATAGTGTATTAACGAACTCCAGGGAGTCTCTAAGTCGCATTATTATATAAACATATACATCAGCATAAAGGAATATCCATCGTGATCCCGTTTCGATACACTTTAATATAAACAAAGGGGATCAAGCGTAAACATTCCCATCGATACTCCTATACCTTTACTCCGAATTCAAGTCCTTATTATAAACACATAATGATAATTACATGTATAATCGTAATCACTCATCTTTTTCATAGGATTTTGTCCAGGTCTCAAAACCACCAAATCCCGTGGGAGCGCTTAATCATCAATATATACAAACCCTACTCCCAATTACAGCTCTCACCCCGTATTAATAAGAATTTCTTGAGAATTACGTATATACATAAACTGCTTTTGGAATAATTTGTGATGTAAATAACCAAATAGTTACATTTAATGTCAGATATGATGAGTCCATTAGAACTTAAAGAAATCTGCGAACTATGTGGAAATATAATTGACATTATATCAGTGTTGGCAATCAACACGTTATTGCGATGGACAGGTCGCTTGAAAAATCTGATTAGTTTGAATATGACACTAGTAAAACGAGAAAAAAGCTTCATTTCAATTGATCAGGTAGATCGCGATCACTTTTTAAATAGAAGAGTTCATCTACATTTTTGGTATAAAGTCGATCACAGGTACTAACAAGTTGGCTGCCCTTACTTTATATGACTAATTGAGAATCTTATTGAGGACTAAATTACTAAGACTTATATGAAGTAATGAAGTAAAGATTGAAAGCTTTACATTAAAACTAATATAAATAAAGACATTAAAATAATTTGATAAATACAAGTATTAATATACATATACAGTAAGACCTGGATTAACGCTGAATCGATATAACGAAGTCTAAAAAGTTTAAATTTACCTATCTTCTATATGTTAAAGTTTAGCGCAGCGCTAAACGAGGTCTTACTGTAAAAACAATAAAGAGAACCTTATATATTTGATAATGAATATTGTTTCACCAAAACACTACTTCATACTTTTATTTTTAGTTTTGAAGATCTAATCGTAACTACACTAATTACAAGAATCCCAAATATACTGCAGGCTCATTTAAATAGCCATTCCAATAAATATTTTGATTTATCGTTGTCCTTTTTCATTGTAATTATTACTGAAGTATTTTTTTAAAATTAAACTCAAAATTATAACTAGTTATTGAAGAAAACTATATTATTTCTGATCATTTTAATTACAATAGATTTAATACAATATTTCTATTATTTTCTCATAATTTTATATTATTTCTCTATTTTTTTTTATAAAAAAATCCTAATCTGTAGATATTATTTCATTTTTATAAAATATAAAACACTACTTATTTACAAATTCACACGACTTAAATTTGCTAAATTGTTAATTTGCAAACAAAAATTAAAATTATTACTGAAAATGTTCTGATGAGTAACAGTTTTAAATTTAGTTGATTTTAAAAAAATATACAATATATTTGAAACAGTGAAATTAATTAACATTATTGTATAACAACAGTGTTGTAAACACGAAAGTAAATTGTTATTAATAACTATTTCGTGGGCGTTTTTTAGAAAATCGTAATTATAATTTTTAATTAGAGGCACGTCTCTTGCATTCGATTTCATTAGAATTTCTCAGAAGTACGGATTGCAGCGAATTCGATTATATAGCGAGCATTGACACTGAGAAATTCCCTCTTTTTTTTCTATCTAAAATAATTGTGCGATGTGGAATTCCCAACTTTTGTTTAAAAAAAAAACGAGCTTTCAAGAAGGCGAGTATCGATGACTTGAAGTTTATTAAATGCACATTCAAAAAAAAAATGCAAAATGGGTCAGCCGAGACTTTCACCAATGTATGCAAATGGCATTGTGTAGGCAATTATGTGCACTGTCTCCACAGAAGTTGATGACAAATTTTATGGCGAATTTCATTCAATGATCCTAATAAAGCATCAATTTATCTAATTTCGTCTTGAGTAAATCTATATTAGTTACGATAATTCCATATTTATATACAATTGGCCTTTGAAGTAAATATTTCTTACTCTTGTAAATTTTGTATTTTCGTCTTGATAAGATTATCCGTTATAATACTATCAAATGTTTAATGTTGTAGTTATGTTAAAAGTAGATTAAAAAAGATTGTTTTTTTGTGATAGAAATGAGTGTCACTTGTCAATTAAATACCAAAGCACTAAAGCAGCGTAGATTTAATCTGCGAATTGAAATGTAAAAGAATAGCAAAAGACACAAGTCCTACTTCTCATGGTGTTGGCTTAGGATCAATAACTCGTTTGGCGACGTCAAACAACCATTCGTCTTATGCAACATCGCCTAAGATTACTTTATTTATGCCAAAAAGAAATATCTGGCATTCTTTAAACATTTCTTTAATACAGTCGTAAATTTATTTATATAATGTAATCAAAAAAAATAAAATGTCTAAGCCTTAAGTATGTATCTAATGTAAATGAAGTTTGAAACGGAAATGTTGACATATTTTAGTATAGTAAAGGGGGAAAAAATCTGTCTGTCCAATGTAAATTATGTACAGTTTCTGGAAAATTAATAGAAAGAATAAAAGGAGAAGTAATAATAGAATAATAATAGAGACGGGAACTTCAAAGAATTATATAAATCATTTGAATATTACACCTTGTGCATAATTATTTCAATCCGAAGAAAGTGTCCAATAATGTAACGGATATTAATACAAGGATAAATCATGTACATGCTTACACATGTGGAATAGTAAAACGTACAGACATTATTCTTAGTCACCTAATCAGAAACATCTATCAATTTATGCGATTATTATCATTTCAAATAATAAACGAAAAATATGTTTTGTATGTATATTTTTCTTTAATAGTAAATATTGTTTATGCAAATGAATGATAAAGGCTAATTAAAACACGTGAATTGCATTTAAAAAAATCGTCATCGGGAAGTTTGATGGTCAACTTCGCATGAATGTTAAACAGTTATTGTACAAAAATGCAAATATATGCAATCTAGATTTAAAGCTGCGAATTTTAGATAGGAAAAATAAATAATGACAACCGGGTTGAATCCATGGTAAATTTTGACGTCCGTCTGTCGATATGTTCTGAAAGTTTTTTTTTTGTTAAATGCAAAAGTCGCGTCGAAGACCGAACATGGTGTTGTACATTACCAGCTGCGGAGCTTTGATACTGTCGCTGGCTTGTTTTGCTCTCCTACTAAAACTGAAGTTGCTGTCCTGATCACGATATGTTGTCCTCGGAACTTCTACATTGAAATGGAAACAAGCAGACAAGAATTTCAATTATGTGTAAATCCATCAATTTGATGTAAATATAATTTTTTTTGGAAAAGTCAAAACTGTTTTATACATTTATCTGATGATCTGATTTGAAGATTCATATTTTCTGCTGAAGCAAACGTTGATCGAGCACTTGATGCACAATGATTGTATTTTCATTAAATAATTTAGGTATTCTGAAAAGACCAACTATATAATTTGAAGGTCTTTAATCACTTATACTAATTAGAAAATTTAATTGCAAAGTTATCTTTACGGACAGTTAAATTCGTGAAATATATCTGACCAAGGATAATCAAGTAAGTACGAGTCCCATAATTATAGAACCTTCAGGATTTCCATTCTCCAATTAAAAGTTATATGTAAACAATACACTACAGTAATATGGATGCAATAATGATAGTACTGAAAAATATGAATTCGAAAGAATGAAACAGAAGAAATTAAATGCTTTCATCTAGATATATACTATGATGATCTTTGATATATTTCATGTATCTAAATAAGAGTATCTAGTATTTTGATTAATGACAATACATGAATTGATTTAATTTATTATTGTTAAAAATACTTTGTACTTCAACATATTAATTTTCAAATTATAAATAAATTAATGATTGTTGCTTTTACTTGATAACAATTTATATGAGTTTAGGATTTGATCTTTTTTTTCCTCAGACGAAATATTGAATCATGTTCTTTCATCTGGAGTTTTTGTTATATTAAAGAAAAGCTTTCTTACTGTGTATTTTCTTTTTTATTTATAAAGTAATAGGGAGCTATAATCAAAGTAAAATATAATTAGATATGAGAGTTCCATTTAATTTACGTTAATTGGAACTGTGCGATGTGTGAAAACCGTAGAGAGTTGTGAGAGTAACATTAATTGATTGGAGGTAGGTTTTAATCCATGATTATCTTGGCTTTTTTCATCAATTGATGACTATTTTTATGTATTAAAGTCTTAATTTATAAGTATTGTGGACATCAAAGAAAATCTTTCGTGCTTTGTTAATTATTATTGCTTTTAGAGTGATCGTGAGTGATAGAAAAGCTTTATACTGGATTTAATTTAATATTAGAGTTTCAATTAATTAAATTAAATTATATGTGTAAACTGTAGAGAGTTGTGAGAGTAATGGTTGTTGTTACATGAACGGCGGATGGGAGGCAGGAAAAGCTGCGTCGAGCAAATGAGATAGGCCCGTTCTTCGGACGTTAATTGGCGAGCAGCCACCAGCCGGTCCTCCTCAGGTGAAAATGGAAAGGTGCTTCGAGGTGGGTGATGGTTGAAGTCCGGCCCTGGACATTCGCCGGTCTTTCGCCTTGCGTTTGCTCGCTCGTTCGTATGGTAGGCAGAGGCAGTGGGAGCGAGTGAAACAGATTGAAATGACAATATGATTCGGCCTTCCTAAAAAAGTCTGCCGACAAAGAGAACCGAACACAACCAGCCAGATAAGTGTTGGATGGTGATTCAGGTTGATATGTGCGCCTCTCGTAACAGGTAGTGAGCGAGCGAGCGAGTGAGTGAGTGCCTGTATCTTTGTGAGCGAGCGCAAAAGGGTTCTCTCGTTCTTCCTCTCCGGAGGCCTGCAAGAAGAACGCGCGCAGCGCACACATTTACACATGTATTATTAATAACATTCGTGCGCGAATTCACCTAGCCTTTATTAATTACCACTACCTGTGTGCGTTCGCCAGCAGCCAACGCGTTTGCTGCCTGCTGTATTCCCTTCTTGCGCGTAGGTTCCTTCAAAATAATCTTCGGGGAAGCCGGGAAGATCGAGAAGGAGAACCAGAGAGAAAGAAGAGTTGTAGTAGAAGAAGAAAAAACAAATAACGAAAGATAGAAGGAAACATACAAACAAACAGAAGAAGGCGCGCGCCCGACAGCGAACCCGTGTGGTGGTATCTGTTCCTCTTCTTCTGGTTCTTGATCTTGTTCTTGTGGTGCGTGTGTTCCGTATGTAGTGTGTGCGCGTCTGTATTATACTGTTTGTGTCCAAGTGCATCAGCATCCCAAAGTTTCTCCACCACGACGATGCTCTCATCAAAGTCGGTCGGTTAAGTCTTTAATTAGACTCCGTCGGATTTCGGACCCTCGTCCATCCCGGATGACCTTGGTGATCACGTGAGCGTAAGGGCCTTGACCTTAACACTCCCACCGCCACGCACGTAAGCGCATCCCCAAAAAAATTTATTCATCGAATGTGTTAGACGTAAATACGACATGCTGCACGGATGAATACTAACTACGTACGCACGACTCTCCATCGATAATTCTTCACAGGTGCATGAGCGCAACTGTTGTTCTTCTTGTAGTTGATCTCAAACTTTTGAGCTATCTCGTACAGTTTTCGTCACACCAATCGATGATGGTGATGATGATGGAATCGCTCGGAGAGAAGACGCACAATTCTTTTGTTCTTTTACTCTTTGCTAGCCGCATTGAAATGCTCGGATCTTTCGGGACGGTTACGTTCACTGACCCACCCGGTGCTGAACAGTGATGTGTAAGATAGAGAGAAAGAGAGTGAGAGGGAGAAAGGGAGGTCGAGCTGCTAAATGGACGCGGAAAGATAAAGACATGTATGAATGCGAGAGAGTGAGAGAGGTAGCGACTAAGATTGCTGCTAAAAAATCGAAGCGGTCTTGCAAATTATTTTTGCAAAACGTACATTCAATCTTTTGCCACCCTGTGTCGTCTCGTCGGCAGAGGGGACCAAGGGGGAACCAGTTATGGAATTTTTACTACAATCTGGTTCCACATTTTTACAGTCTCTGGTTATCTTTTTTTATTTGTATATACATATTTCACTACACATTCTCACCAATAAAAATCGACTATGCTGATGATCATGATGGATAGTGCACCAAGTGCAATAAAATTAAAAGTTGTTACGACTTTATATGCAGATTTAAAGACCTCTAACAACTGCTGTTTTTAAATATTTTAGTGTTAATATCATTTTCTTCTTGAAATCAAAGATCATATAAAATTTTTAAATAATTTTCCATAATTATCCTTCAAATATTCGTGCAGTCCTTACATTGTAATTAGTATCTATTATTTCATTTCAGAATGTACGTAAATTCAATTCGTTTTACTAATATCTAATTTCATATTTATCAGAAGAAAAAGAAAAATTTTTAGATGAAAAAATGCGGATTTTCTCTACTTAGTCATCTTGAATATCATTGAATTCTGTTTACGAAATGAACAGATGTTTCTTTGATTTGATTCTTCATTCAATGATGATATTAATATTGACTTTAAAAGAATTGAGGTGAACAGAATTCAATGATGATATTGACTGCACTTAACTAAAAAAATATGAAATTTCTGAAGAAAAAGTAGAAAGACTAATGATATTAGTCCTTTATGTTTGTATTTACTTTAAACCAGAATCAAAGAAATAATTAACAAAAAATGTACATTAAATGTTATATGTTCTGGTAAATCAGCGAAAAGTATAAAAATGAACTAATCTATATTGTCCAAATGTGTTTGCTATTAACAAATATTTTACTTTTAAATTAGTATGTACAGTTTCAACTGCTTCTAGATTACATTTACAGTGTCTTTAGGCAATTTCAGCTTAATTTACAATTACAATTAAATACCCGAAATACCAAATACGGAAATTTAAAGGATTAATTTATTTTGCAATAAATTTACTGAATAAATAATGCATGTTGAAATTCAGTCTTGCTATTTATAAACAGTTTTTGCTATAGGTTTTTCTATGTAATATGCTAGTGTTTATATAATATTTATACCATTGGTCTATGTTTTCTTGCAATTATTAGAAGTTTATCTGAAACAATATTGACTTCAAGTGAACCCAAATTCTTGTTTTATTCTTTATTTTTGGATATGTATACCAAATATAATTTGTAACAAAACATTACCATATTGTACTCGTAACATAATTGGATCTAATTTTAAAATTAAGTTGTATATTTATTCTTATTTACTTTGCTATATGTCGGTATACGTCAAAATAACTTTGTTAATTGGCGCGTAGTCCGTATATACTAAATTACTTGCACTTTCTCAAGTAGTCATAAGTAACTATAGAAAATATTTAATTTTGTACATATTCTATGCTGACATTCCCAGGAATTCCCGATTTTTTATTCTTAATTTTTGGATATGTGTAGACCAAATATAAAATTCGTTTCAAAACATAACCATATTGTACTCGTGACACAATTGGATCTAATTTGAAAATTAAGTTGAATATGTATTTTTATTTACAAAATAATCCAAAATGACATATTTTATGACTTGTAATATATTGAGTTTAGCCACTCCAGCAAGTATTTTTTGGTATTTGCTTATAGTTGGACATAAAAACTTTGTCTACCTTTCTTACAAGTAAATCGCGAATCATTTTGAAGTTAAAAAGTTGATCTGAAGAACAAACAAGTTGGCCACTCCCGGCATATATTATATACCAATTTGTACATTGATGTATCTTCATGAAGGTATGCCTATGCTTCTAACATTTGTATACACGTATCGACTTTCCTCTTGGTCTTTAATTTCATTTTTTTTTTGCATTAGCATTAATTTATGATTGGAAGCTGGTTGCTCAAGAACGGTGCGCCAGGGGCTCTTTCCGAGCGGAATATTTGCTGACATTTGATACCATGACAAATGGCTCTGTTCCGATACCATCGTTTATGTAATGCAATGCACTGCGCTCCATAAATCATACTGTAATTGAATTTATTATTTAAATTAGCCATAATTCTTCTCCCCGTACATTGTCCATAATGGCAATAATAAATCTGCTCGCCTCATTGCATACTAATCGATTCCATATTTCCATTTTAATTTCATCGCATTTTCCCATTTACTTTGCAAATGCATTTCAAAACTAGATTACATTTCACCAAGACATGCAAAATATGTTATATGCAGAAACTGTTGTATAAGTCAAAGTACTTTTGATTATATAAAAAAAATAGTTATAATTATTTATACGTATTGTTTAGAAATTAAATTTCTTTTAAAGATAAATGATTGATACAAATTAAATTGTTTGTTGTTTCACAAATAAAGTGTAGAATGTTGTACGTGTCCAAAGCTAATTCGGTGTTGTGCAACAATTCTGGTCTGAATCACGAAGAGTTCACCATACTTTTCGGTTCGTATGAAACAGCGTTTTCTTCACCTTCGCGATGACTCACCACGGGTACAGGCCGCATGGGGTCGAAATTATCCATGAATAACAAGTCGAAGCAACCACAAATTGCTTCATTTCAACCATGAGTATTCAAAAAAACGATTTTCTTCTTCTCGAATGTCGATTTAGTGAACATGAATTTCATATTTTAAAAATAATTAATGATAAAATCAACAAGTTGCTGTTACAATTCTTTATATGAATTATATATCTTGTAGTCACTTTGTTGTATGTTGTATGTTGTACGTCAAAATAAATTTGTTAATTAGCGTGTGGTGTTTACATACTAAATTACTTGTACTTTCTCAAGTAGTCATAGGTGCCGGAATTCGGGACAAGTTTTTCGTGAATTTTGTAAAAGTATATAGTCTTGATACCCGGGAATTATCGTTCGAGACTGGAGATGATTAAATGAAAATTTATTTTCTTGCAATATTATCGAGAATTTGAAACAAGGTAGAACTTAATGCATACTTAATGGCATTGCAAAATATTCAATTTCCTATAAAACGGGATCAATATACAGTACTAAAACTATATATAATTCACTATAGAATAAATACATTGATTATAAAATAATGTCGAGAATTCCCGGGACTGTCATAAACAGTTGTCTCGTGTCCCGGGAATCAAAATGTCGATACTGAGCAACCCTAGTGCTGACATATTCAATTTTGTTTGATTCTCAATTACTTCTCCAAGTTGCCAAATAAATATATGTACCTGTGCCTTCACTTTGACTGGTATTAACTAGTCTAGTAGACTTGAGTTGATATAAATGACTTACGATACTTCTACAAGTTGCCAAATATATGTACTCGTGCCTTCATTGTGACTGGTATTAACTACCTCTGTTCCTTGAGTTGTTATAAATGCTTTAGATACATGTGCAAGTTGTCAAATATATGTTCTGGACACATTTACGAAACAAGCTACTGACGCCTTGTTAATCGGTATAACGCCCTGTATATCGTCGCGTTATATCTGTTTAACTTATAATAACACTAGTATATTACATATACACAAGTACTTGTTAAGCATTAAGTAGCTTTAACAGATTTCGTTGGTTCTTTAAAAAGCAGTCGTTGGAATGCTTCAAAATCAAATAGAAACTGTATTCTTCCATTTTCGTTCTTATCTGGTTAAGTAATTATTGTGCGAACACACTTGAAATTTCAAGGAATGCATAAACAATGTGGGAACCGCTCGTCGTCGTCGGCCGAAGAAATGGAGACCTGTTAGATAATTGCTCAAATTGCTTGCGCAATGTTTGACATTCCATCAGTATATTTACCTGTTGCGACCCAATTCCGAAATCCAATCAAACGGAGGCAACGAACGTACGAACGCGCGCTGTTACATCGAAAGGAAATAGTTTTATTTCGCCTCGGCAATTTAGTTGCGATAGCAGCAATTAATTATCCCAAAAATATATTAAATGGTATTAATTGATTATGTGAATGGCTCTGCGCCATATCAAGCATCCATTAGCTACACTTACAATCGACCATTAACCACGATCGATTAACTCGCACTCATAAACAAGCGCCGCTTTATTTAAAAGTTAATCGATTAATTTACTAAACGTTTTCAATCTGTATTTGGTCAATAGCGAACGAGAAAATTTTTCAACGAAAATCGTGCCGGACATCTGCGTTCTCTCGGCAACAAGTGAATCAACACGTGGCTCGGAGGCAACATGTAGTCTGTGCGCAATTTATTTACTTGCCGCTTATTCATTGATGATTCACTGAGGTGGCCACGAAAACCACTTCAATTATACAATTCAAAGAAATAGCATTGATGAACGATCCACGTTATGAAACGACGAATAAATAAATCCGTTGATTGTTTGTTGTTGTTAAATTCCACATTCCGAAATTATATAATTGTTGGATGGAATGCGCGATCTCTGCTCACTGTTTATTACGTACGTAATAAAAGGTGTTTCGTAGCGCAATCAACGAAAAAAAAAACGAG